AAGCCCTGGCAAATATTGTTCCCGTTCTTTGCAATGTTGATGAAGTCAGTGATATAATTCTGCCCGTTCCTCAAAGGAGAAAACAGTCAATTCAATGAAGGCTATTGTCATCCGTGGGTGGCCTGGCTAGAGTGTGACCACTAGGGTGGTCAAGCCAGCCCAAACCCTGTATCTCTGCAGCTGTAGCCCTCTCGTCCCTGACCTCACAGTTGTTGAATATTCACTAGGTCACTACCACTGCATGCTTAGAGACCTTTGTTCCTGTTAATAACAGTTCTTTGTTTGTCAGAGATGGAACAAGTGGTCCAGCGGCCTTCAGGGCAAGTTCCGTGGCTTTCAGAGCAGCTCTTACCCCACATCTTTCAGAATCTGTTTTCCTAATTTGCTCTGACTAATGGGAACGTGTCATATCCTCTCATGTGCTGGGAGAAAAGATTGAGTGTATCTCTGGCAGGCCGGCACGGGGCGGGCACGGGCAGGGGCCTTGTCCTGTGTCTGTGTGTCATCTGGAATAAGACAGCTGGTCCATGTGTCTGAACATGCCCATCAGAGAGGCAGTGCTTTCAGAGTTAACCTCCTCTCCATTCCTCCCTCTGGCCTGGGAACTTTGAAGTCCCTTTATGAGGTGCAGTAGCTAAGCGCTCAACACCCCTGCTGCTCCACCACTTTCTCTACAGCAGGAGGAAAGACTGTGGCTTTGCCCTTGTGAAGATTACAGACTGATGGCTCCTAACAGTGGTAAAGACATGCTCACATCAGGCCTGAGGGCTTGGCCCTGTGTGTCATACAGCCTTTATCAGGCCATGCAGCCTCCGCTGAGAGTCCTCTGTGGCTTCCTGTCTCTGAGGTTGCCTTGGCCGAGCCTGGCTTCTGATCCCAGCCATTATCTGACGTCAGCTTGTCTGTTCTACCCATTCTGGTCACCTGTTGCTGCCCTCTCTGGCCCTCTGATCAGGACCCTTGCATCTCCATCTTCCTCACGCCCTGGAAATGCCCTGCTGGGATGCTGGCTCGGTTCCCTGTGCTGGGGCCCTGAGTCTGGGGGTTTGCATTCTTGCTGGACTCCTTGGTTGTCTCCCATGTCTTCTTAGAGCCTCTCTCTTCTTACATGGCAGCCCAGAGCTCCAAAGAGCACCAAAATAGAAGCCTCCAGACCCTTCTAAGTTTTTGCAAGTTCTGGTAGCATAGTCCACAGGGAAATGTGCTGCACACCCAAAGGCAACACCTCATCAGTGGTTCGAATCCACCAGCTGCTCCTTGGGAGAAAGACAGGCAGTTTCCTCCCATGTGATTTACAACCTCTGAAATGTTGCCCCAAGGCCAGTTTTTCACCCCTCCAGTTTTCTAAGGTTTAGGTCTGGAACTGAAACAGCATCATTGTGTTGAGTCTTTGGTTAAAAGAAATCACCAAGCCAGCCTAGATTCAAGGAGCGAGGGACGCACATGGAAGGAACTCCGAGTATCTTTTTAATTCACACTTCTCCCACCTCACAGGGCCCTCAGCTCTCTTCAGACACACCTACCACACACACCTGCCAAGAGCTGGGATGTCTGCTTGGGAGACGTCACATCTTTCGTAATACCCACAGGATGGTTTCCTCCTTTCGGTTAGTCTCAGCTTAAATGTCACTTTGACAGAGCAGCTGTCCCTGACCTCACCTCGTCCTAATTCAGTGTCTCTAACCCCCTTTGCCTGCCCCACTTTTCTCACTGGCGCTCGTGGTCCCAGCGTAACTTCTGCTGTCTGCGGGTCATCTGCCTCCTCCTTCTCCACGTCTCAGAATCCAAGGGCCGAGAGAGGAGGTCATTTGTCCACTGCAGCCACCGCAGCTCTAGACCTGCCACAAAGTCAAGGTGCTTGAATGAATGTCAGACATGAGTAAACTGAAGTTAAGTGAGGCTAAGTAGCTTTTTTAAAAGGCACACAACAAATAATCTGCACAGCTGGGATTCTAACCAAGCAGGTTAGCATCTAGTACTTGATGTAGGCAAACAAACACCCCAAGTTCAGACATATTCTTTAAGGGCACTTTTATTAAGCTATTAGTGAGATAAAGACAGAGAGACAAGCTGTTCCAGAGTGGGGGAACCCTTCAGTAATGGCTGGCAGTGTTCCAACAAGTTCAGCTTAGGTGGTAAAGTGCTAAGAAGCTGCGTTGCAATCCCAAATGCTCGGGGTTCGAATCCACCAGCTGTTCCAAGGGAGAAGGATGGGCAGTCTCCTCCCATGGGATTTACTGCCTCTGAAAACCTACTAGAGAGTGGGGTCAGCTGTGGGTTGCATCCTACACAGTGGCACACACCACCATCACCACCACCTTTCGTTTAGAAGATTCTAAACAGACGCTCTGCTCCACATCGATCCAGATTGCCCTCTCTTCTTGTGCAGCCTCAGCCCATCCCTGAGACACGATGGTGAAGGTCGGAGTAAATGGATTTAGCTGCACTGGGCGCCTGGTCACCAGGGCTGCTTTTCACTCTAGCAAAGTGGATGTTGTCGCCATCAATGATCCCTTCATTGACCTCAACTACATGGTCTATGTGTTCCAATATGATTCCACCCACGGCAAATTCAACGGCACTGTCAAGGCTGAGAATGGGAAGCTGGTCATCAATGGGAAAGCCATCACTATCTTCTAGGAGCGAGATCCCGCCAACATCAAGTGGGGTGATGCTGGCGCTGAGTATGTTGTGGAGTCCATTGGTGTCTTCACAACCTTGGAGAAGGCTGGGGCTCACTTGAAGGGTGGTGCCAAACGGATAATCATATCTGCTCTTTCTGCCGATGCCCCATGTTTGTGATGGACATGAACCATGAAAAGTATGACACCTCTCTCAAGATTGTCAGCAATGCCTCCTGCACCACCAACTGCTTGGCTCCCCTGGCCAAGGTCATCCATGACAACTTCGGCATTGTAGAGGGACTCATGACCACAGTCCATGCCATCACTGCCACCCAGAAGACTGTGGATGGCCCCTCTGGAAAGCTGTGGCGTGATGGCTGTGGAGCTGCCCAGAACATTATCCCTGCATCTACTGGCGCTGCCAAGGCCGTGGGCTAGGTCATCCCTGAACTGAATGGGAAACTTACCGGCATGGCTTTCCTTGCCAGTGTCCCCACCCCCAATGTGTCAGTTGTGGACCTGACCTGCCGTCTTGGAGAAAGCTGCCAAATATGATGACATCAAGAAAGTAGTAAAGCAGGCATCAGAAGGGCCCCTCAAGGGCATTCTGGGATACACTGAAGACCAGGTTGTCTCCTGTGACTTTAATAGTGACACCCACTCTTCCACCTTTGATGCTGGGGCTGGCATTGCCCGGAACGACCACTTTGTCAAACTCATTTCCTGGTATGACAATGAATTTGGCTACAGCAACCGGGTGGTCTACCTGATGGTTCACCTGGCCCCCAAAGAATAAGAACCCCTTGGACCACCAGCCCCAGCAATAGCACTAGAAGAGAGAGAGAGAGAGACCCTCAGCTGCTGGGGAGTCCTTGCCCCAACTCGATCCTCCCACTTACTGAGAATCTCACATCCTTGACACAAGTTTCTATCAAATGCCCTGAGAAAGGGGAGGGGTTTGGAGAGCGCATTTTGTCATGTACCGTCAATAAAGTACACTGCACTCAGCAAAAAAAAAAAGAGAGAGAGAGAGAGAGAGAGAGATTCTAAACAATGTAGGCAAGGCAGCCTTAGTGGGTAAAAAGACCAGGATTGGGAGGATGCTGTAGTCGTGAGGTTCCGTCTAGTTGACTATGACCCTTTAACAACAGATCAGAACCTTGCCCTGCCCCTCAGCATCCTCACAATGTCCGACATGCTCAAACCCGCTGTTACAGTCCCTGTGTCGGTCTGTCTTGTGGAAAGTCTTCCTCTCTTTCTCTGACCCTCCACCTTTCCCTGCATGATGCCTTTTCCCAAGGACTAGCCCCTCTTGATAATATGCCCAGAGGAACCTTGCCTCTAAGGAGCATCCTGACTGCACTTTCTCCAAGACACATTTGTTTTGTTCTCTTGGCAGCCCACGGCATACTCGCTGCTCTCCAACCCCACAATTCCGAGGTGTTGATTCTTCTTCCATCATCCTGATTCATCATCCAAATTCCAGGTGCATTGAAAATACCGTGGCTTGGATCAGGTGTACCTTAGTCTTTAAACTGACATTGTTGCTCTTTAATGCTTTGGAGAGACCCTTGACAGCATATTATCCCAGTGCAACACATCTTTTATTTATTGACTGCTGCAATCTTTATGTGGAACAGATCATCCAGGAGGCTGGGCTCTATGAGGAGGAATGTGGCATCAGGATTGGAGGAAGACTCATCAACAATCTGCATTATGCAGATGACACAATCCTGCTTGTTGAAACGGAGGAGGACCTGAAGCACTTGCTGCAGAAGGTCAAGGACTGCAGCCTTCAATATGGATTGAAGCTCAACATCAAGAAAACAAAGATTCTCACCACTGGGATGATTGGCAGCACCATAGCATCATGATAGATGGTGAAGAGATTGAGATTGTTAACAGCTTGCTTGGCTCCACCATCAACACTCTTGATACCAGCAGCCAGGAAATCAAAAGATGAATTTCATTGGGAAAGTCTGCTGTCAGGGACCTCTCCAGAGTACTGAAGAGCAATGATGTCAGTCTGGAGACTAAGGTGCACATGATCCAAGCGGTAGTCTTTGCAGTCACTTGCTATTCACCAGAAAACTGCACAATGACTAGGGATGATAGAAGGAGAATTGATGCCTTTGAGCTGTGGTGCTGGAGAAGAATATACCATGGACTGCTAGGAGAACAAACGGGTTCACCCTGGAGAGAGTGAAATCAGGCTGCTCCTTGGATGCAAGGATTCTGAAGTTCCAGCTGACTTACTCTGGGCATGTTGCAAGGAGTAACCAGTCCTTGGAGAGAGATATCATGCTTGAGAGGGTGAAGGGATAGTGTAAGAGAGGAAGACCCTCAGTGAGATGGATTGACTTAGTGACTACGGTAATGGCGATAGGTGTGTCAGAGACAATAAGCTTAGCTTAGGATAGAACAGGGTTCAGAGCTATTGTACATAGGGTCACTGTAAGTTGCAAGTGGTTTGATGGCACTTAACAACAACAACAACAGCAACTCCCCTTTCTATGAAGATGATGCCAAAAGCAAAGAAGGAAGCCCCTGCCCCTCCCAAAACTGAAGCCAAAGCAAAGGCATTAAAGACCAAGAAGGCAGTCCTGAAGGGCATCCACAGCCGAAAAAAAGAAGAAGATCTGCATGTCACCCACCTTCCAGCAACCTAAGACACTGAGCACCCCCAGGGGAAACAAGCTTAACCACTATGCCATCATCAAGTTTCCCCCACCACTGAGTCAGCCATGAAGAAGATTGAAGATAACAACATACTTGTGTTCATTGTGGATGTCAAGGCCAACAAGCACCAAATTAAACAAGCTGTAAAGAAGCTCTAGGACATTGATGTGGCCAAGGTCAACACTTTGATTAGGCCTGATGGAGAGAAGAAGGCCTCTGTTCTACTTGCTCCTGACTATGATGCTTTGGATGTTGCCAACAAAATTGGATCATCTAAACTGAACCCAGCTGTCTAATTCTAAATACAAATTTTTCTCACAAAAAAAACCCAAAACAAAACAACAAACACCAGTTTTTTTATCTTCTTCTGTAAGTGCTTCAAGTCTTTTTCATTTTCTACAAGCAAGGTTATATCTTCTGTGAAATGCAGGCTATTGGTTAGTTAGCCTTCCTCCAATGCCATGTTTTTCTTCATATAGTCTTGCTTTTCATACAGGTTTCTCATGAGCACAATTAAGTACTCAGGGATTACCATTCTTAATGTTATCTATAATTTGTTATGATCCACGTAGTCAGATACTTTTGTATAATCAACAAAACACAAGTCAACATCTTTCTGGTGTTCTCTGCTTTCAGACATGATCCATCTAACACCTGCGATGATAATCCACTGGTATTTCAAATACCAGCATGCTCACTTATGGTGTAAGCTCTCAGCAGAGTTTCCAGACTGGGACAGACTAAGCTGCAGGACTGGCCATCCACTTCTGAAATGACAGGCTTTTGGAAATCTTATGAGAACATTATTATAGAGCCAGGACTGAGTTCTGTGCACAAATTCAAATTAAAAGTTTGCTAGGTCTGTTCTGGGGTTCTGCTGCTTGGCAACGTGGTGGTGGGAGCTATGACTTCAGAGAATCCTTTAGGACAGGATCTGTCAGGGCAAGGAATTGCCCCTCCACTAAGTGGGTCTGATAGCTGAGATCCAATTCAAACGGAATTTTAGTTGAGAGCAAAGCCTCGGGCTGGTTTGACTGTTAGAAGGAACTCTGACATCTGAGCCCAAGCTAAGGGTCAGAATAGAGTGAAGGCTCTACCACAGACCTCAGGCTTCCCCAAACCGAGTGTCTTGTGGTTCAGCTCTGACACAGACTCCACAGTGGAAGCTTTGCTGCTTCTGCCTGTGAAGGCAGAGATAATTACAGCCTCTTGCCTCCTTCTCCACTCAGTTTTCTCTCAGAGCCATCTTCTCGCAAATAAAGACTGATGAGACGTAAAACCACGCTGAAGGTGGCTTTTCTCTTGTCAAAGTGAGCCAGCCCACTCAGTTCTATAAAAACTCTGCATGAGACACAGCAAAAGTTAAACTTCTGCCTGGTTCAGTGGGCAAAATGTTGTTATATGCCATCCAGTTGGAACTGACTCATAGCTGGGTTTTCCAAGGCTGTAAATCACACAGGAGAAAACTGCCCATCTGTCTCCCAAGAAACAGTTGGTGGATTCGAACTGCCTGCTTTTGGGTTGAAAGCACAGCTCCTTACACCCTAGACCACCAGAGCTTAGGAGAATACTGGTCTTGAAAGACCTCCTAACCTGATGAGACTGGAAGACCCCCAAGACTGTTGCCTTGATATATTCTGTTTTTATACTGATGTATTTACAAAGTGTGAATACATTGTTTTTCACGAAAGATCCTTCTTCCCATTTCCCTCACCCCGCCACCCATCAAATTATGCAGCCCTATGATTAACACCCCACCTGACCCCTGCCCATTCTCACCATCTAGAGTTCTGGTGGCCTAGTGGTAAGAAGCTGTGCTGCAATCCCAAAGGCATGAGGTTTGAATCCACCAGCTGTTCCATAGGAGAAGGAAGGGAAGTCTCCTTCTGTGGTATTTACTGCCTCTGAAAACCTGCAGAAGAATCAGCTTTAAGTAGGTTCCAACTTGACAGCACATAGCAACAGCAACAATGTTTAATTTTTAAATTGTTTTAAGTGTCATCTGGGTAAATAACATGCATATTGAAGGTTTAAATGCTTTTTGTTCTAGACCAGGCTACTCCTCGGAGGTTCTGGAATGCTCTATGAGATCCCAGCCAGTTGTACACGTTTTACTCCCTGGCTCCTAAGACCAGAACTGAATGAATGATGGTTTTCTTTCTTTCACTCAGAGAGCCACTCTCTGGATTCCAGCTGTCAGTCGAACCCACCCATGAACGTCCTTCAGGAACTGCCAAGCTACCGGTCCATCGCGCGGAGAAGGAGCACCGTCACTAACAGAGACAAGCCGAGGGGCGCGCTGCTGAAGCCCACGGACTCTAACCATGCCACCCTCGAGGGAGAGGTCACTGAGCACCTCAGCAGCCAGTCCATTCGGAAGTATGCCCTGAACATCTCTGAGAAGCGGAGGCTAAGGTTGGTCCCCCAGCGGCCCAGAAGTCACGTCATGGCTGGGTAGGGAGACACTCAGTACCTGGGGTGCGTCTTCCAAAGATTTTCCCCATCTATAATGCCATTACTTAACGCCATCTGCATTCCTGTGATAAAAGAGACCCAAGCACGTAATCGCTAACATGTTAAAAGTTGATTTTTTGCCCACATGGCTCAGGGGCCAGGTCTTCCGCATTCACTGACCCTCACCCATGCATCCTGAAAGTCACATTGTAATGCTCCCTGTGTAACTCGCCAGTGGATGAGTGCAAGTTAGCTACTGCTTGTGTAATAAGCTACCCCCAAATTTAGCAGCTTTAAAGTACCACCAACTGTCTGAGTCTACCCGGCAGCTGAGCAGTTGTTCGACTTCAGAAGAACTCACTCTGGCCAGCGGTGGGCCAGGCAGGTGGTTCTGCTGAGCTAGGCTGGGGAGGACTGGTCAGGGATGACCATTCCTGTTCCACGCAGTCCGTCCTCTAGGAGGCAAGCTTGGGCGTGTTCACGCAGCCGCAGTTCACGGGGTTCAAGAGAGACACTTCTAGAAGTAGAGGCCTAGGCTTGGAGATAGCATAGCGTGACATCTGTGTTCTGTGGTCTGAGCGGCTCACAAGGTCTGCCCCGTAGCCACACGGCCACAGGGAGCAGCAGAAGGGGGGAATGGGTTTTGGTCAATAGCTGGGCATCTTCTTCATGGCCACAGGCTCAAAGTGTAATTTATCTCATTGCTCCGTGTGTGGAAATAAAACTTCTGCAGCTGATTCCAATTCCATTTTTTTTAAACAAGCAACAATATTCCGAGTAGAGGTTCTAGTAGTGGCACAAATCAAGTTACAGAGGGAAGGTGGTTCTTACAATAAAAGGCCTATAGACAAGCACTTTGTCTATTATAGTGTGCAGGTTAGGAACCACAAGATGTAGAGGCTCAGCTATGTCATTTATGCTTAAGTCCTGGAGCAAATTCCATCTACCACTGGGCTATTTTACAACTCGGAAGTTCACATGCAAGGTAGAGGTGAAGTAAGGAACAGCTTATGAGGTTTTCCATCTATTCCAACAACTAAGAGATAGTGAGAAGAGTTGGGACCACAGAAGGCTTTTAGGGCCAATTAGTAGGCTCTGTGCCCAGGAGAAAATGAATATACTTACCATTAATGTTAATGCTCATCCACGGCTCTTCTGGGAGGATCTAAATCGTTGAAGCGTCCTCCTTTGTTTCCAGCTGGGAGCTGGGGCCTGTCAATCCTGTCTGCCACGAGGACCTGATGTGGGCCACCCTTGGCCAAGTGTCCTTCAGAGCCACACTTAAAGCAAGTGAGTGGGAGCTTCCTCTCTACTCCTTTGCCTATCTGTGGCTCTCGTCTGTGACACTGTCTACTAAAGTGGCCCAGCTTTCCACAGTGGAAGCAATTCTGACCTCCTTTATTACCTTTGGGTGGCACTGTATATGAGTAAGACTTCCTTTTCCTGACACAGGCCCTAAACTGGCAGCAATAGCTGCCCCAATAATTTTGGCCATTCTCTGGTCTTTTCTCTTCCCTCTAGATCCTTCCTGCCCATAGCCACCCCTCAGTAACGGAAGGGCACATTCCACTACCAAGACCAAGTAGCCAGCCACAAGCTTGGGCATGTCCATGCTAACCCTCACTTCTGATGTTTTCGTTACAAATTTGGGGATTCCCTCTACTGCTTCAGAATATGAGCTCAGGGATGCCCAACTCCCTCACTAATGACCTTCTTACTCTCCGAGCTCAGTAATTCCCTAAAAGGACTCAGAGTGCATGGGAAGTACTAAGGACTGCAATTTTATTACAGCAAAAAAGGATACATATGGGGGTGGGGGGGTGCATAGGGCAAGGTCTGAGAAGATTTCCAACACGAAGTTTCTGTGTCCCAAGAAGGGATGCACTCTCCTCTCATGCACAACAATAGCTTTCATTAACCAGTAAGCCCATGGGATTTCTGTATCCAGCGACTTTGCTGCAACACTGATGGCCTCATGGCAAGAAGCTGTGCTGCAATCCTGAAGGCATGTGGTTCGAATCTACCAGCTGCTCACTGGGAGAAGGGTGGGCATTCTCCTCCTGTGCAATTAACTGCCCCTGAAAACCTGACTAAGAGGGTCTGCTATGGGTCAGTTCCAACTTGACCGTATACAGCATCAACATTATAGGGGCACAATTGATTAGATCAGTCAGATGCTTAATTGATTCCATCAGCCACCCACTTCTGAGGTTGCAGTCTTATCACCAGGTGGTCTGGCCCGGCCAGCCCTCACCTGAATTTCCTCATTAGCATAAATCCTCAGATGTGGTCTGAAGCTGTTAGAGATGCTTCATTTTCTAGTGACTTTCCAAGTTTCCAAGGTTTTGGACCTTTTCCCTCAGGAACTAAGGACAAAGGCAAATTTCTTTGCTTACACTCACCTATAAACCCAGAATCAGCTCACATGGGTGGTGGTTCCTCTTCAACCCCCTTGTTGGGACCACTCCTGACAGTAGAGGGACTGGTAACTTAGTCCGAGAGACATTAGCAGCTAACCCAAAGGCCACACCTCTCTAGGATGAATCCATGGACCATTCTGCAGGAGAATCTCCTCCACATGCAATTTAGGGTCTCTCAAAAACCCATTAAAGGGTCAGGTAGGAGACAGTTCTGATTCGAAGGCCATGAGGTTTTCTTGTTAGTGTTGTGAGGTTCCCTCAAGTTGAGTATAGCCCATCGTGACCCTATTGTCTATGAACAAGAGATCTGTGTGTGTACCATCAAATCGGATCTGACTGGTACAGGAGGAGATTGCCCTTCTTTCTCCAGCAGAGCATCTGGTGGATTCGAACTGCACCTCTGGGATTGCAGTGCAGCTTCTTGCCACTAGGCCACCAGCGTTCCCCTATGGAACAACAGATCTGAACCCTTTCCTATCCTGTGCCATCCTTATCACCTCTGATATCCTCGACTTCATTGCTGCAGCCACTGTGTCAATACATTTTATCGACAACATGCCCAGAGTATGTGAGATGAAGTTTTACCATCCCTTCTTCTAAGGACCACCCTGGCTGTTTGTTGTTCAACATAGGTTTTGGCAATCTATGGTATGTATTCATTCTTCTAGGCCATATAGCCCTGGTGTGTCCACTTGCTGTACAGAGCTAACTTGTGGTCATTGTGAAGCTGAACACTCACACTGATGTGTCAAATGCGATAACGTTTACCCATGGTGGACAGTGTTTGGTGGTGCTCCCTGGTTAAAACAAGCTTGGAAGCAGTAGTGGCATCCACTTCCGTAAATAGCTTGCCTCCGGAAACCCTATGAACCTGGAGAAAGGATGAAAGTCACACATGCAAGTGTCGAGGACTTTAGTTCATAGGGTCACTATGAGTCGCCTGTGCTCGACGGCACTTAACAACAACAACAGCAATGATGGTATGTATTCAGTATTCTTTGCCAACACCACAACTCAAAGACATCAGTTCTTCTTTGGTCTTCTTTATTCATTGTTTAACTTTCACATGCATATGGTTTGGGATAGGTGCACCTTAATCTTTAAAGTGACATCCTTGCTCTTTAACTTCAGTGAGGTCCTTGACAGCATATTTGTCAATGCAGTAGACCATTTGATTTCTTGACAGCTGTTTCCTTCGGTGGTTGACTGTGGACCCAAGTAAAATTAAATCATTGGCAACATCAGTCTTTTCTCTGTTTTTCATGAGCCAGATAAATGTTAATCAAATGATCCCACAATTAAGGGTCAGTCATGATTCCATTACTCTTCCAAAAGTCTGCTTCTCAGTAGCTTGCATGTTGCTGATTACTAGAAGCTGTTTCTTTAATATTTCAAATGCCAGTGAGCTCACCCATGAGAGACAGTGTGAACAGAATTTCCAGACCAAGAAAGATTAGGAAGAAAGGCCTGGCAATCTACATCTGAAATTTCTCATTATTTCATCTCATTGGCGTCAAGTTGGTACTGGTTCACAGCTGACCTTCTAGCTAGTTTTCAGGGGCAGTAAATCACACAGCTGGAGATGTGGATTTGACTGGCAGCCTTTAGGTTGACGGTGCCACTCCCTACAGACTACGTCACTAGCACTCATTTCTGAAAATTCATCCACAAAAACCCTATGTGGCATGGCAAGAATATTGCCAGCTGTCGTGCTGGGAGACAAGCCGCTTAGCTTGGAAGGTACAGTGGTGGCAACAGTGGTGGACCGGACATTCTAACAACCAGGAAGGCGGCTCAGGACCAAGCAATGTTTTGCTCTATTGTGTGTCCTAATTGCCAGTTCAGTGGCAGCTACCAGTGACAACAAGTTAGGGAAAGGAGTGTGTTGTAGGAGAGAGAGGGCAGAGTTGCTCTTTTTAGGGGTGCAGAAGCGCCACGGGTGTCAGGCTCAGTTCCATGGAGTATGGCTTTCTTGACGCTGTTCCTGGGTTGGGTTTTAGTTGATGCTGAGTTGGGATTGCTGTAGATTGTGTCATGCTTGCTTTTCCTGCAGGGACATTCAAGAGACCCAACTGAAGTACTTATCAGAGTGGGACCAGTGGAAACAGTACAGCAGCAGGTCCTGGAAGAGGTTTTTGGAGAAAGTCCATGAGATCACAGCCCACCTGGAGCTCTGGCAGGAAGACATCCGCAGCATTGAAGGTACTGTGCCCCTCCCTTGGCACTGTCCCCTGCGTGGTGTTTCTGCGTTGGGTGTAGAAACCTCCTCACCTTTGCTAACTTCTACCTAATAGAAGAGGGAGCTCTGGTGGCCTAGTGACAAGAAGCTGCACTGCAATTCTGAAGGCACACGGTTCAAGGCTGCTAGCTGCTCTGCCTTCAAAGGACGGGCAATCTCCTCCTGTGTGATTAACTGCCTCTGAAAACCCGCTGGAGGGTCAGCTATGGATCGGTTCCAATACGACAGTACACAACACCAACAACAACCTAACAGAGGACGGAACTCTGGTGGCCTACTGGCAAGAAGCTCCACTGCAATCCCAAAGGCATGAGGTTCGAGGCAGGACAAGGATGGGCAATCTCCTCCAGTGTGATTAACTGCCTCTTAAAACCCACCAGAGGGGTGAGCTCTGGTGGCCTAGTGGCAAGAAGGTGCACTGCAATCCCATAGCTGAGCAGTTCAAATCCACCAGATGCTTTGCTGGAGAAGGAGGAACAATCTCCTCCTGTACCAGTCAAATCTGATTTGACTGTACACGCAAATAATAATAATAATAATAATAATAATAATAATAATAATAATACCCCACCAGAGGGTCAACTATGGATTTGTTCTGACTATACAGTACAAATCAACAACAACCTGATAAAGGAGGCAGTTCTGGTGGCTTAGTGGTAAGGATTTGTGCTTCCAACTCAAAGGTGTTGATTTGCCTTCGAGTTGAGTATGACTCATAGTGACCCTATGAATAAAAGGCCTTAAGCCATTCTACATCTATCAACATTTATCAAAGTTCATAGAGTTTCCGGAGGCATGTTATTTAGGAAGTGGATGCTACTCTTGCTTCTAAAAACTCGAAGGTATACAGTTTGAATCCACCAGCTGCACCTTGGGATATAGATGGGCTGTCACTTCCCTTGAGATTTACTGCCTCTGAAAACCTACTGGAGGGTCAGCTATAAGTCACTTCTGACTTGATGTTACACAACATCAATGTCAAACCCACAACAGCATCATCTCTGCCCACCTATAACATCAACCCCACCAGCAGTATCAACTCCACCTACAACATGAACCCCACCAGCAACATCAGTATCAACCCTACTACCAACATCAACCCCACCACCAACATCAACTCTGCCTACAACATCAGCCCCATCACCAACATCAACCCTACCACTAACACCAACTCTGCCTACAACATGAAACCCACCAGCAACATCAGCATCAACCCTACTACCAACATCAACCCCACCACCAACACCAAGCCTACCAGCAACATCAGCTTCACCTACAACATGGACCCCACCAGTAACATCAGCATCAACCCCACCACCAACATCAACTCCGCCTACAATGTCAACCCTACCAGCAACATCAGCATCAACCCCATCACCAGCATCAACCCCACCAACAACATAACCCCACCTACAACATCAACCCCACCAGCAACATCAGCATCAGCCCTACTACCAACATCAACATCAACACCAACACCAACTCTAACTACAACATCAACCCCACCACCAACACCAGCTCCACTTACAACATCAACCCCACCAGCAACATCTACTCCACCAACATCAACCTGAAAGAGATAGCATTGCTTCAACAATGTGTGTGAACAACCAACCCTAATTGTTATCTGAAACATTTTTGTCTTTGTCACATAGATGGTTTCTCCATCTTTCTAGATGTTACAGATGTAGAACAAAATTTATGATCTTCCTTGTTTTAAAATGACTTTGATGTTAAAGGGTTATTGTTGGTAGGCACCATCGAGTCAGTTCCCCCTCATCGTATCCCTGCGTACAATTGAATGACCACAGCCTGGTCCTCACAGTTGTTGCTGTATTTGAGCCTGTTGTATCCACTGTGTTTATTCATATGGTCCAGGGTCTTCCTCTTTACTCCTGACCCTCTACTTTTCCAAGCATATTGTCCTTCTCCAAGGACTGATCTATTTTGGTAATGTGCCCAAAGTATGTGAGCTGAAATATCATCAGGGTTTCTAAGGAACATTTCCTCCACACCAGATTTGTGGATTCCCTGGCAGTCCATGGTATATTGCGTATTCTTCACCAACCCCATAATTCAAAGGCAACAGTTCTTTAGTCTCTATTTTCCTAGGCCAACTATCACATAAATGATGATGATGATGATGATGATGTTGTTGTTGTTATGATGTGTCCTCAGGTCAGAACTGACTCTTTTTTTTTTTAAATTATGATTAAATTTTATTCGTTTCAATGAACATTCACAGGGATTCTGGGCTTTTACTCCTTCATTGTCGCACCATTCTCTCCACCCTCCTCCCCAGTTTGTTCTTCTTCCCCGCCATCCGAATGTCTGTTTTAATTGTCCAATTGCCACAGTGCTTGTCAAAGTCAGTTCTGATTAATCTTCTTTGTCAGTGTGTCCTTTGCCATTCCCTATCACTCCTCCCTGAGAGAGACTTCACCCTGAGTCATAAGGAAAAGGGGATGGCGTATTCTCTTAGCTACTTCCTGCTGAAAAGGGACGCTGTGGGTTTCAGGGTGAAGATCTTCTCTCACTACTCTAAAGGGCCCCTTTGGCAGTAGGAAACACATAGACTATTATGGAGATTGATTTTGGAATTTAGATGCACTCTTATTGATTGTGCTTGGCCGTACATGTTCATATCCTTGAAGATGTATCATGGGGGTGTTGCAACCTAGAAGACACAAATTTGACTAACAAGTTATAAGTACATGAGTCAAAAATTATGGAAAAGTAAAAGAAAGGATTCTTTCATTGTTTTACAAACCCTCCCCCAGGTCCCCTCCACCATGTAGCCCTCGCTCTAGACTCCTGTGATGACAGAAATACCTAGTCATATATCTCTTTAAACAGTTTTCTCCCTCCTCTGTTTCAGTGCAGTATACATTATTGAACCCATCTTACTCCGTCTCTCCCCAACCCCAAGGACAGTCCCATTCTCTTGTTGTTGTTGTTAGATGCCGTGAGTCGAGTACAATTCATAGCAACCCTATGAACAAAAGATTTGAACCCTGCTCTATCCTGTGCCGTCCTCCCACTCATCGCTGACTCCTTTTCAGAGGCAGTAAAATCACATGGAACAGATTGCCCATCTTTCTTTTAAGGAGCTTCTGGTGGATTCAAACCACCTGTCTTTGGTTTGGTGACTCAACTCCTTACCCACTAGGCTGCCAGAGCTCCCAGGGTTATTAGATATACATACATATATGTTGTTAAGTGCCATCGAGTTGTAGACAACTCATAGCGACCCTATGAATGAAAGACCTGAACACTTGTATAACTTTCATCCTTTCTCTAGGTTCATAGGGTTTCCCAAGGCAAGCTATTTACGGAAGTGGATGCCACTCCTGTTTCCAAGCTTGTTTTAAACAGGGAGTTCCATCAAACACTGTCCACCATGGGTAACCATTATCACATTTGACACATTAGTGTCACAGTGTTCAGCGTCACAGCAACCACGAGTTACCGCTGTACAGCAAGTGGACAGACCATATGTATGAGACGAGTGAAAAATACCACACGTGGGTCAAGTCACCTCAGTCTTTAAAATATTGTCTTGGCTTCTTAACACCTTCCAGTAGGGCTTGTTATTTAATGTCCTGTTGATAATGCTCATGTGTTACTTGATCACAAATAGGATTTTTCCCAGTAGGATAACTATGTCCACTGGTATTTAAAAATGATACTCTGAGATGAGGCTCAAAGGGTCCCCAGACTGTGAAAGGAGCCTACAGCACTGAAGAGGTCCTTTCCTTCCCCATAATGATGAGAATTTGGCATGCGGTGTACAAGAACCAGAAGTTCCTGGGGGTGCAAATTGCAGGCATACTTGGCTGCAAACTCAAAGGTTGGTGCTTGAATCCACCCAGAGGTACCTCGAAATAAATGCCTGATGATCTACTTGCCAGACATCAGCCACTGGAAACTTTGTGAATTTTGAAGCATGGGTGATACATGCATTGCTTAAAAATTGCTGTTCATTTTAACCTAATATGCATAACATTAAGAATGATAAGGTAGAAAAATCTTAAGGTTATGCAGTCAGCTTGCTTCAAGGGTCACCTTCCCTGCTCTTGAAAACCCAAACCCAGTGGAACCCTTTGCTGTTGAGAAGGTTCAAACTCATTGTGACCCACCGCCAGGTGTCAAGGCTGTAATTCTCTGTGGGAGGAAACTTCCCCTCTTTCTTCTACAGAGCAGCTGATGGATTCAAAACACTGACCTACTGTTAGCAGTGCAGTATGTAACCACACCTACAGGACTCCTTAAAGAGACTGATATTGAACATTATAAACAATGCAGAAAATAAATCGGTCTGCCTTGGAGAGAGTGAAACCAAGTTTCTCCTTGGAGGCTAGGATTTTGAAGCTGTCTCACATACTTTGGTCACATACCAGGAGGGACCTGTCCTTGGAGAAGGACATCCTGCTCAGAAGGATGGTAGGTTAGCACAGGAGGTGAGATGGATTGATTGAGATGGTAGGACTAAGGGTATCAGACATAGTGATAGGGCAGAGTTCAGAGCTTTTGTACATAGGGTTGCGATGAGTTGCAAGCAACTTGATGGCACACAACAACACACACACACACACACACACACACACACACACACACACAGAGATTGGAAATAAGTCAAGACATAAAATTAGAGGAGAAAATATACACTGGATAATGTAGCAGAGCCGTGATCACATGCTTCTCAGGATTACGTATTTTCTTTGATAAAAGACTCCCAGAGAGGTGCAAATAGCTATTTACGGAAGTGGATGCCACTCCTGTTTCCAAGCTTGTTTTAAACAGGGAGTTCCATCAAACACTCTCCACCATGGGTAACCATTATCACATTTGACTGCTAATCAAAAGATTGGAGATTTGAATCCATCCACAGGCACTTTGGAAGAAAGATCTGTGATCTGATTCCAGGAGATCAGCTACTGAAACCCTGTGGGACAGTTCTTCTCTGATAGACACTGACGCCAGCTCTCCACCTGAAGAGATGGTTAAACTGCTGGGAAACGGGACTTTAAAGCCACCTCAACATCACTGGGGGTTCTGATTCCCAGCGACCCTCTACTGAGTCTCTGTGAATTGTTACTGGAGTAGACTGCCCGTCTTAATGTAAATTGTCTCTGAAGGAGACAGCACATCTTCAGTCTCAGAGCCGCATCCATCCCTCAGAGCTGCTGGTGCATTTGAACCACTGGAGACGCACAGCCTTTGGTTTAGTGGGGCAGCTCGTCGGGGATTACACCTCCAGAGCTCCCGACTGATTCTAGTTACTGCTAGAACTTTGACAGATGAAAAACCCACAAGAGCCAGAACTTGTGTAAGCAGAAACCTGCTTGAGAGGGGAAACTCAGATAGTTTGCACTAATAGAGAGTATTAGGAAAGTGGGAAGACCATAAGATGGAAAAGTGCAAGAGAAGTCATTCCTACTGAGCTCTGCTGCTTCCACTGTATGTAGAAAACAGAGACGACAAAGGGCTTTATTTTAACAGGTAAATTTAGCAAGGTTCCTATACATGCTGTTGAGCTGATAGCAGACTCATAGCAGACCCTCCAGTGGGTTTTTAAAGGCTGTAAATCACCTGAGAGGCAATTGCACATCTACCTCCCCCAAAGCTGCTGGTGGATTTAAGCTACTTGCCTTTGGGTTGGCAGTGCAACTCCTTGCCCACTAAGCCAACTCGAGCTCCTCTAGAGCTCTTTGTAAATAGTTACAAAAGGAAAACTTTTAAAAATGGTCTAATTATAATAGTTTCAAAAGCTTCAAATACCTAGTAGGAATGTATACAATGATAAATGTTTAAGGCCTCTGTGGAAAGTTATAAACTGTGGTGGAGAAGGGTGAGCTATACCATGTTCATGGATCAAAAGACACAGTGTGGAAAACATAACCACTTTTTGCCAAGTTGACCTATGTATCTCCATGTAATCTTAGCTGGAATCAAAACAGGTTTATGTATGTAAAAATCAACATGCTGATTCTAAAATGCTTATCAGAATGCAAAGGACTGAGTAGGAAATTTAGCCCCAGAGAGTAAGTTTTCCTATAAATCTCAAAAGCTCTGGTGGTTTAGCTCATTGGGAGTCGCTCTGCTGACCTAAAGGCCACACCTTGCTGGCAGTTTGCGTTCACCTGTGGCTGTGACAGAGGGACAGTCTCTTCCTGTGCAATTAGCACGTTGCCGCACACTTATAAATTGACGACCATGCTTAGAAACACTTTGTTTTTTTCATTTTTTTACAACTGCCATATGAAATTGAGCATCAGTCGTATGTTTGGAAGTGAAAATTACCACACACTGACAATTTGCACACTGAATATTTGCGGAAATATTCCAAATTGTTAAACATGAAAAATGGCACAAAAAAGGAATTGATATGTTATCTGGAATGTTACAATTTTTTTAATGTATTACTGAATAATTAACAGTGCACTAGTGTACTTTGTATGAATGATGTCCCTTCTTTAATTAATTAAAATGTGTAGGATGGCTACAGCTGTCATTTGTGGCAACGTATTAATATCTTCAGAAAAACACTTGAGGATCAATTATGAGTTGGTTCTGTCCCAAATGGCTGTTTTTTTGAGCTTCTGTTTGTGGACTATTATGCTACTAATGAAAAGGTCAGTAGTTCAGATCCACCGACTCCTTCATGGGAGAAAGATGAGCAGTATCTTCTTGTAAGGATTTATAGCCTTAGAAACTCAATGGAGGGTCGTTCCGAGTTGGAATGGACTCAGCAGAGGTGGAATTTTCCTTATCATAAATCTGCACTTCTCTGGTGGCGTAATCTGTAGGGAGTTGTGCAGAAAATCAATAGTGGTGCCTCTCTGATTGTTCAAATCCACCAGCACCACTTTATTGGGAGAAAGATGAACACTCTGCTTAAGTGGTCAGCTATGAATCAGTGCGGACTTGATGGCAGTGAGCTTTGACAGTTCTTAAAACAGTGTAGTGTTGGTGCAAAAGTAGATAAATAGACTAAAGGGACAGAACTGAGTGTTCAGAAACAGATTCTTACGGGGATGGTTCACGGTCTCGTAACAGAGACACTCCTGCAGCTGACTGACGTAAGTAGGACCTTTGCAGTAAATGGTGCTGAGCCAATCACATATACAGATGGAAAAAGAGAACGATTTTTTCCTATTTTATTTTTGTTGTTGTTAGAGTCTGCACAGTAAAACATACACCAGTTCAACCACTATTAAAATTCAGTGACATTTGCACACCCATGTTTATTGCAGCTTTGTTCACAATAGCAAGGAGTTGGAAACAACCCAGGTTCCCATCAACAAACGAATGTATAAAGAAGCTGTGGTATATTCACACAATGGAATACTAAGCTGCATTGAAAAACAAGGAACTCATGCAATATTATTCAAAATGGGTGTCCCTGGAGAACATTATGCTGAGTGAAGTATCTCAGTCACATAAGGACAAATACTGCATGGTGCCACTGTTGTAGAATGGGACTGATATAAGGGTTGGAGTAAGACTGAGAAAAACTGGGTAAATTATGTGTACTGCATTGAAACAGATGAGGAAGAGAATAATTTAAAAGTGATATATGATAGGGTATTATAGTTATCACAAGAGTCCAGAATTAAGGGTGCATAGTGGAGTGTACCTGGGGCAGTGGGAGGGGTGCAGGGGGATTGTATACCAA